GTAGATACAATAACTTCAAAAATAGGTAATTTTTAAACACACACTTTTATCAGCAGAATGGAGTGAAAAACTGTATGTACTGTATGTACATACAAGATAAAGGAGTTATAACTAATCTTTTTTTTACAGAATAAAGAATGGATATAAAAGCTTTCAAGCTGTTTCAGTAAGGTAGAATTAGTACTTGTACATCTATCTACAATAATAAAAGGGCGTGTCTGTTACTCTGTGTGTGACCGCCATAGCTCCAAGAGTAAAGAACCTAGAAACCTGAAAATTTGCACCCATATTAAGTGGATTCTGAGGATGTGTACCTGGGTACTATTACTTATCCACATGCGTGCCTGCACACACATATTTTTAATGAGGCAAGCTAGCAAAAAACCACATAGAAGAGAAGTAGTTCCTTATATTACAAATAGAAATCACAGATAACCAGACACACACTTTTGTTTATGCACGTGTCTGTGTAACTAACATAGCTCCAAGAGGAAAGAACCTAGAAACCTGAAATTTTGCACCTATATTAAGTGGACCCTGAGGGTGTGACCTGGGTATTATTACTTATCCATGTGCATGCACGCATGTGCATCATTTTAATGAAACAAGCTAGCAAAAAAATCACATAGAAAAAAAGTGTTTCCTTATCTGACAACTTGTAATATATATATATAACAGCCAGTGCATTTTGGTAACAATGAATTCCAACAATGGCTTCTATATTATGTTGATTAGCAACAAATGTATATAGATCATACATTTATGCTAAAATGGGTTCAGAATACATACACTATTAACCTAATAACCTGAGCAAGGCCAGGTACTTTCACTAATATAAAATAAATAAACCATGAATAAATTTGTTTTTACTTACTTTACAATAGGATTGCTGCTAAAGTCAGCCACCTGAAGTGATTTCAAGAATTTGATATTCTCAGGAATTTCAGAAATATCTAAAATAGAGAGAAATATAAAATAATTTTTTGTTATATCTACATTAATTCAACATACTTTGACTCTTCAGAGATTAGCATCTGTATCAATTTGACATACAGAATGTAATTGTTTTGTACGTTTCTGAACAGATATTTTTCATCTGGATCACAGATTTATGAAAAAGGTCTACATAAATCCCATAATTTTTTATAACACATTTTCCTAACTATTTATGCACAAAATTGCTTGTGTGTCCACAAATTTTTTGGTTACATGGCACCTGATAACATATGAGCCATATAATAAAGTTTAACACAAAATACCATAAATATGGTATTTAATTCCATTATTAACTGATGGGATCTCCTATAAATGTAGTACACAAAGCAAGAGATTTATTTTGGATCAGTTATTTACACTTAATAAGAAAAAACATGACATTACTCAATATGACAGAACACGTAAAACCCTCTGGTAGACAATACAAAAACAAGTCAATAATTTGAAAATTAGCACATGAAATAAACTCAAAAATTATTAAGACAATATGTAAACAGTTATTAAAAATTCAATATTACTGAAAGCTAACATCTTTACATACTCTTAAATATAGCTGAATTCAATGAAAAATGTTATACTTATGGCTTTTCTAACTGTCTGTAAAACAGATTACACAAGCCTGTGATGGTTTTATTGTCTTGAAATTTTTACATGTTCTACGGTAATTTCTGTACGCTGAATCCAAAAATGATATCCATTTTCCTCCATCACGTACAGATTAAAACTTCATAACACAATACATAAAAAAAAGAGGCCACAACACGTAGTTTTGAGACAAAAAGACATAAATTGAAACAAAATCAGGATGAATGAGAATGCACATTCATTTGATATCAATGTGCTTCCCTTTTCTTGAGTTTGTTTGTATATTTGTTAACAAACATAATAAAAAATGTTCATTGTGGTAAACGAAATAATAATTTGATCTAAGTAAGGATTTGTAAAAAATCCTTATGTGATTGAAAAAATTAATATTATTTTCGAAATCTGCATAGCTGAATTATGGAAAATCCATTATTAAAACCAAAACAACTTTTATGAAGTTTAAATTTGCTGGCCTGTGTTATTACTGAAACAACACTTTTGTAATGAATGAACAGACAAATATTTATTTTCACATTTAACAAATGATTGTTTGATAACATATCCATGTCTCAAATGGAAAAATAATTATAAATTGAACATATATATAATGGAAAAATAAAATTAAAGCAAACCACAACAAGTATTTAAGACTATGTAGAACAAGCGAAAAAAGTTGAGAATTTTCGACACTGTGTTTACATAATACTTATTAAAAATGACTTCTAACTGAAAGATGAGTATATAACATGTTTTTACACACAAAAACACGTTAATTTCAAAATCAAACTAGGCTTATTCAAGACAGTAGATACAATAACTTCAAAAATAGGTTAATTTTTAAACACACACTTTTATCCAATTTGCGCAGAACATTCAAGCGTGGCATAAGATCGTTCTGATAAACTAAAACAATAAAAAGGCAACTACTAAAAAGACGATAAAAGTATAAATTCAGAAATAACAAAGTCGCTGTGTAATTTATGTTACACTAATGATGAAGTATGAAATGACGTTTCCATACGTAGTTAGAACTGGGCTAAATAGTTTATAACATTTATTACAGCAGTTTTGTTTTATAAGTAAATAACATCTAATATCCGCTTTAAAAAAAAAAGATGACGTGGTAAGGTCACGTGGGTTGTTTGAAGAATTAACAACCTCAAGAACCGCTACTTTCTCCGACTTGATATTACATTGATACGCGTGCGCGGGCGTGTGTGGACATTAGCTACGCTCCCTGATGATGAAAGAAAGCAGCAGGCGACAAAATTTATGCTACTAAAAATAACGTCCAGTTTCTAAACAGATAATATATATATATACGTGGAATGATGAAACTGTAACGTGTAACGAGATTTTTCGTAGTCACGCCTACAGTAATAGGTTACTTGTTTCGTGTTAATATATTATGCCTACTATATAACAAAATTTACCGCGCTTTTTCATTTCGTTTAATTAATCGCTTAGTTTAAACTGAAAAGCCTGTGAATTCAATGTAATTATCCACGACTGGTTATTACAATCCCAATTTTATTCAATTTTCAATTAGTCACGATCTGTACAATTGGCTAAACCCAAATTTTACCTTAAGTTTTCTTGCCTCTGTCTTTCGTAATAATGTTTCTGTTTGTACACGGTAATTTACAAAAATGTTGACATTTATAAAACAACAAAATTAAGAAATATTTAAGCCAAGAACACTGTTCGGGAAATTGACCCCTCGGCGAAAAAAAAAAAAAAGGTGCTGAAAAAGAAATTAAAAATAATTATTACTAAACTAGTTTCGTTCAACCAAAATTAACAGCCTACAACATGTGCTATAAACAAAATTGAAAATGTTAATATTCAAGAATAACGCATTTTGAATTTTTATTTTCATTCTACTCCAAAATAAAATATGCAATTTTAAAATTCCATGTAACGTGAGGTTCAAAGAACCCAGTTGATAATACTGTCACCAGTTGAACTCATATATATAAAACAGATGTTAGGTTTCTAACTTGAAGTGTTTACCTACCACCATCACGTGTTTAAGTTATCAATACAGAAGAATTAAGGGAATTCGATATCCGGACACTTTGGAACGATAGAAAATTCACTGGGGAGAAACTTGGAATGTGCGATATAACACCTTAAGAAGGTCTGCTCTCCCAAACTACTCGGGTTACAGTTGGTGTGTTATTTGTGAAGTAACGATTTTTTTCCTTAAATTTTTAACTACTGATATCTATAACACACAGCTTTAGGCTTCACTTCATGTAACAGACACCCTTTTAATTTTTACTAACTATCATATTAATCTTCCCACTTAGACATCACTCTTAGGAAAATCTGACCTAGGAAGTCTGAAGCTATAATAATGTAATCCAAATGCTCGTTATGTGAAATTGATTAATATATTCTATTATGCTGCTGAGGTGGTTTATCAAACCATTTTCCAAACAAATGAAAAAACCAATATTCCACAGTTTGAAATTATCAGTGTGGACTGCGATTGTGTCATCAATAAATGTGATAATGTGACGTATATAAAAAAGGGCCATCCAAGTTTATAAGCTGTTGGATTATATTAAAGTCAACATATAAATTATCAGTATACCAAAAACAAAAAACTATTTTCTTTAACAATATACAAGGCGACCACAAAACAAATACTAGTTTACTTATTTCAACAATTGTTATGGTATCAGCGCCTTTTACAAGCTGGTGAAGCACGATAATTAATTATTCTTGTTATAAGAGATTATGTTAGCCCTATCATATTTTTCCACAATACATTCTTAATCTAGTCCATTAGGAATTTTCAAGAATTAGAAGAATTTATAATTATAATATTTGAACCACATTATATTCATCATATCCATATTTGTAGTGACAAATGGCCAATATAAGTAGTATTCCGACCACTACTGTGTTTGTTGTATCCCAGCCAGTCTGGATTTAGCAAAACGCGTTGTGGATAATGAATATGACGAATAGTTGAAATAGTATTACTACAAGATAAAAAAACAAAAATGTGAATTTAAAAATCAGTAAATAGGGATAGTAAAAAAGTAAGGAAACGAGGTTGGAGTTACTTTAGACATTAATTACTCAAAGTACAAACCCCTATTTTGGCTCCACCAAATGTAATTCTAGGTAACAGCATAGGGCCAAAATAGGGTTTTTTAGTTTGAGTAAATAATGACTACAGTATCTCCAGCCTTGTTTCCTTAATTTTTACAATCCCCTATTTGCAGGTTTTTAAGTTCCCAATTTTTTTACTTATCTTTTTTGCTGGCTTATATATATATTCTACAATGGGCAAAGGATTACTTGATATGGCAGCTAACTTTATAGATTGTAATGATAATAAACATATCTGGTAGCTAACTGATACGAGTCATGATGATTTACTGTAACTCTTGACTACTTGGTCGTATTAGTTCGAGATGTTTAATGTTAAGCTGCAGCTGTAGATTGTCATGGAGATTTATTTGAGAATATGGTGAGCATTTATAGTTTCTGTGTAACAATTCTATATATGTAATACATAGCAATGGGAAAACATATGCCTAGACTAAGACAAACCCCAATAAGCTAAAAAAATGACCAATAAAAAAGCAGCCTTAAAAAAACATAACGTCTAAAACATCGCTTTAAATAAACCTTCTTGTCTTTTAGAGTAATTATTTTACGAACATGTGTAATACAATTTAATATTATGTTTATTGATTTTTTTACCCCTTCATATTATACATATTATAGGGGTTGGCCCCCTAAAAACACCGAGTATATACATGTTACAGTCATCTAATGTTCATCTATAAGCTGGTAATTCCTGTTTCACCCTGTATTTAAGCTTTTTATAGGAACACCAGGTATTTGTTCAAAAGCTAACCTCAAGGGGATAATGATAACATCTTTTAGACTAAAATTTGATGTTTTTAGCTTATGCAAAATATAAAAGAAACAAATCGACTTTTCAATACCTTTACGATCTTTGCAGTACCTTATCTAGTATTCTACAAAATGTTTGGGTGCAATATACCAAGGTGTTTTTGTTGAAGGCTGGCAAGAGAAGAATTACAAACGAGCCGTTTTGAGCTAATTTTCATTTCCTTGTGCATTTTTGTGTGTGTAGTCTTAACAGTTAATATTAAAGGTTTTAAAGTGTTGTTTGAATTGAATCTTTACTGTTTAAAGTGCTTTTTGCCTGAACGTTCTATTAGGGTTTTATGCAATTATTTGCGATCAATATTAAGAACCACTGTCATGGTTCATGATACACTCCTTAATTCTTGAAAACCCTTAAGGCACTAGATTAGCAATATAGTGTTAAAAACAAGATAGGCCTAACATAATGGCTTATAACTAGTTTATCTCTTATTAT